CGCAGCGCCTTGGCGGGCGCTTTGTGGCCAGCTGCCGGGCCTGTGCTCCAGCTTTTCCAGTCTTTTCTAGTGGCTTCAGAAAGCAACGTTAGGCACTAGCCCGGCTTCCCTCCGCAGCGCCTTGGCGGGCGCTTTGTGGCCAGCTGCCGGGCCTGTGCTCCAGCTTTTCCAGTCTTTTCTAGTGGCTTCAGAAAGCAACGTTAGGCACTAGCCCGGCACTCCACGCTTTGTACTCCACCCTCCACACTCTACACTCCACACTTTCGACTCCACACTTTCCACTCCACGCTGTACACTCCAAAGTTTGCACTCCACGCTTTGCGCTCTACACTTGACACTCCACACCCTGCACTTCACACTCCCAACTTTCGACTCCACACTCTACACTTTACACTCCACACTTTACACTCTACACTCCCCACTTTAGACTCCACACTCAACATTACACTCCGCACTTTACACTCCACACTTTACACTCTACACTTTAGACTCCACACTCTACACTTTGCACTCCACACTTGACACTGTACACCCCCTTTTACACTCCACATTTTCCGCTCTACACTTTACACTCCGCCCTTTACACTCCACACTTTCCACTCCACACTTTCCACTCTACACTCGGTACTTGTACTCCACACTCCACACTCTACACTCCACACTCCACACTTCAGTCTCACAGTCTACACTTGACACTCTCCGCACTCACACTCTACACTCCACACTTCATACTCCACATTTTACACTCCACACTCTACACATGGATCGAAAAAACTAACCCCTGTTCGGGGTTCTCCTTGTTCAGGAGACTACGTACTGTTTGCTGAGCGCCCGACCGGCCCTTGTTCAGGGCTCTCCTTGTTCAGGAGATGCCAGGGGTCGGCGGCAGGGGGCGGCAGCCCTTAATATATATATATATATACATAATTATACATGTTTAATCCAGAAAAATCCAATAGGATCCGGATTGGCAAATTAGCAAAAATCCACGCCGTATTCATTTCCATTCCTTTGGAACATGGGATGATTTTCTGTAAAATCCACGAATAATTTTTTGATGATTTGCGCAGCTATACCATGTGGGAAAGTACATAAACACTGGTATAGCTGCAGGGTACCCTGTGGTAATTTAACTATATAGCTATTCAAAATGGCCCATTTGGTTCGTTGATTTACCCACTAAAAATGTTGATTTTCTACAGCTTTTTGTATGTTTACAATCGGGTAAACCCACTTATAGAGGATGACACCTCCATTTACCAGAGGGTAATTTCAAAAGTTCCCTGTCTTCCAGGCCCCCCAACACCTTCACAAAACTCCAGGAGCTTTGCTCGACTGAGAGATGGATCCGACCAGAACTCCTGTCCACAGCTGTCGGATGTCCGGCGTTTTTACCGTGCCACGGGGCGAGAATGGGGGTACCAATGGAACCACGCAATTTGGTGGTCTTTAAATGTATTTGGCAAAAACATATCGATTTTGGATTTTGGAAGGTCATTGACTTTAAACTCTAGCCACCATACCACATTGACGGATCATAGCCAATCAAATGGTCATTGGCAACGAAATGTGTAGACAGAATTAGTTAAATATACAACAAACACACATGCGTATGCATATGTATGTATAATATAATGTGTGTATGTTGACGGCCATGACGATATCAAGTCAAATTCTAGACTTGTTGATATTGGTAATTGGTTGCAGACTATGGGGTGAATTAAGCAGGCATTACATGGCATTACCGTATCATTGATGAACCATGTTGTTTAGCAACCAATGCTGATACCAATATTAGGTTTATCTGAAAATATGTGCCCCAAATCTGATGGTAAATCAAACTTCCCACAAACATGACTATTTGATGGGTACGTATACTGAAAAAAAACACTTCTTTTTCTTCAAACGAACCAAAGTACCATAATGATCCATAATGTTGCTTGTACATTCCATCATATTCCATTATATCCACATAAAATGGGTGCTGCTTAAACCCCATATCTGGTCCAATGCTCGTCATGTTACCAATTTATATCAGATTGTGGTGGAAATACGCGTGTATCGCACAAGATTACGCGTAAAACTTAAAACCCATTTTAATCCCATTCATTACCCAGCAATCCCCATAATATCTTGCTTATATTCGCCAAGTCTCCAATACTTGCAGGATCATCCCATTAACCAGTAGCGATTCGTGGATCAACTCGGTGCAGCTCACCGACGTTGAAGCCGCAACATCCAAGGCAAACCTAAGCTGTTTTTTTTGAACGTTGGAAGTGGGGCTTTGGATGGAGAATGTTTATTATTGTTACTATTAATGATAGATACATACTACACAGGTATATATAAGTGTAAATACCTGATATATATATATATGTATATATATATATATGTACTATGTAAATTGTTCACATATGATTAAAACAAATATACATCACATACATAAAACAATACGTACATGTGTATGGTATATGTATATACACCCACAAAACCAGCATGTATAAATATAAATATATATATATATATCTATATAATTATACGTATATATATATATATATATATGTTTTACACATGAATTGCATGGTTTCATACACGTAAAATGGTGACTTTAGACATAGCCAAATATGCATTGGGACTTCAAGTTTGAGCCATGCCAATAAAAGGATTTAACTAACAACAGGTTTGAGCCCAAAAGGAATGTGGACTTCAACAAAGCAGTGTGGTTGCAGATATCCCTATAGCATTATCGACCTCATGCTTACCTAATAAATGCGGCTACAGACCTATAGATTGTACAACTGGTACCGGCCCATCATCAAACATCTTGAATCTGGCAGTTATTCACCAGGAATGAGCATACAGAGTACCAAACCACTGGGGCAGCCGAACTTTCGGGCGTTCCAGCTGATGTTCTCAGCAATGCCAAAGGCCGGAAATTCCTTCAGAAACTGCTGAGAAGGACATGTAATATACGGTAACTACATTTAAATATACACACATTTAAATATACGAACAGGTATTTTAGACTACCTCCGGAAAAGTTTTCCTTGGCCCGCCGGGCCATCTAAACATACTACATTTAACTATACGAACTGGTATTTCATGCTACCTCAGGGGCCTCGCGGTCTGGCCCTCCCTCCACATATTTAAATGGCGTTATCATATATGTATATATATATATACAAAAATAATATATATATATATATGAGCAGGAATCACCACACCCCCCCTTGGTGCGATCTTTGTAAGATGAGGCACACCAAGGGACCCTCATCCCCCTGCTCATGAAATTCGATGTTAGACTGCAAAATGCAAAAATAAAATGTGAGTATTAACGACCCTTCACGGTTTCGCACACACACACACACTTGCTCACACTTGTCTTATCAAATTGAGATGTGGAATGCATCGGTCATGCAAAAACACTTCAGTTAAATTAGATAAGAGAAAGTTGGAAGGACGAGTTTGTCCCTGAAAGTTGTCAAAGCTGCCATCGCCATAGCCAGAAAATGACCAACAGTCTTGAGTTGCGCCACCAATAAATACAATAGGAATATACAGATACAGTCAACCTCATCCGTACATACGCTTAACATCAAAAGTATCCTGACGTGATACATGTCGAACTTCAGATTGCGGAAACAAAGTGAAATACCTCGACATGCCGGTTCTTGGCTTAGCCGGATGCCATCAACAAGAAGGACTGACCCAGTAATAGTATATCATTAAAACCCAGATAATGGTGGTGAGAGATGTTTCTGTAAACCGAGCAAAACTAGCAAAAAACATATGGGGATGTATCAAAACCAATCTTGCTATATTTGGGGGGATGAACATCCATTTACCAGTTATTTGGGGTTCACTAGGGTACCAAGGTTTTGACTCATACCCATATGACTTATGACTACGATAAAATCATCGGCGTTTCCAAAACAATGAGGACACCAAACAAGTTCTCCGCCAAGGGCGCAGATCAGTCCTCTGGATTTGCCAAACCATAGTCTCGAAGCTCATAGGAGTACCTGCAGAAAAGGTGGCGGAAGTGGCAGGTTCTCTAACGAAAGGGTGTGAGAGTTCATGCCGACAGTTCAGGTGGAAGTATTGTTTAAAGTTTTGAAGTCCAAATAATGGCTTCTGTGAGGGCTGTTCCACCATTTCTTTGGCAAACCAAGCTATACCCGTCTGTTTAAAGCAACATTCTCAGATTTGCACAGTGAATGACGTGAATACTCAATGTTTGAAACATTTGTCGCTGTCAAATCATGTCAGATTGTGGTATAAACCCCACATCAAAACCCTGGATGATGTGAAATCGGCATGTTTATCCCCCATCAAAATACTTGGACACCCTTGTGATTTAAGGTTCATGGCCTCAGCAAACTGGTCAAAGACTCGCCCCTCTCAGCGGCGCGGTCACATGGACTTCTTTTGCTTCACAAAGGCCATTCTTCCCAGTAGCCTGAGGCCAGTAGGCCCAGTGGGCCAGGTCTAGAGAGCAATGTTTATATAGAGCACATCAGGGACATAGATTCCATTTCAGTGACATGATATATAAGTATATATATATAATCTGCATTATATATATATATATGCATTATATATATGCATATATATAAATATGTGTATATATATACATATTGATCTATTACTCTCATATTACATATGTTTGTGTTTGGTAATATGTAAAATAAGTGTATGCTAATCTGTGATTGTGTTTTTTACCATATATATAAATATTCATACATACATACATTACATTACATTACATTACATTACATTACATTACATTACATTACATTACATTACATTACATTACATACATACACACCAATTCATGTCATATAGTATTGCATGGTACAGTATGGTATAGGATGGTGTCGTAAGGTAGCGTATGTATGCCACTGCAAATGCAGGAAGAACAACAATACCAAGCATAACCACAGATCACGCCAACACACGGCATGAGCCAAGCATCTCCCAGGCACGGAGGGTTATCCCCTTTACATCTTGTCATTCTACTCGTTGGTTAATAGGAATTCCCATAGTGGATTATGAGAATCCCCAATATATTGGGTAGTATAATTATGATTTATATATATATACTATATATATATATACAATCCCCTGTATATATAAGATCCAATAGGGGTTTCGAACACGGCTGATGTAGTTCCAGGGGTCTAAAGCTCTGATCATCATCCATCTTTGCGGGCCCTGGCCCAGGCCGCCGCACTCTTTGGCTACAGCGGTGACCGTCCTATTGACCTTAACACGCTCGGTTGGTTTACCCTCGCAGAAACATTGGTTTACCAAGGCCCATGGCCAATCTGACAATCGAGAGGCTCTGCAAAACAATGTTTAAAACAATGTTCAAAACAAGAACACAACTGCTTAGTACTGCTTAGTCGATATTCCCATTTGGGTCATATTTGCTGGTTTCCCAACACTTGGGTGCCCCCAAATCATCCCAGCGGCCAGAAGGCCGATTGCCGATCATCAATGCAGTCAGCTGGGAAATCACGGCCATCAAGACTAAACATATACTAAACATAGGCTATGGCTATGGTTTGTTAGTGTTTTATAACACCAGTTATAATAATTATAATGGGATTATAGATGATTATAGTTGGTGAACCACCATACCCAAAGTGTAAACCACTGGTTAGTAAATGGCTTTATTTCATTGGGAGATAAGGGGGTTCTAACCCCAGTTACTCACCAGGAATCGCTAATCCTATGGCCCATCTAAGGACAAGCAAGCTTGGAAACAAAACATACCATCCAAGTTCACTGTTATGGAAGTTGATAGTCGCCAAGACTGAACCGCTGACATTTGACACTCCAAAACGTAGTGTTTCAGCAATCTTTCCAGAATCCCTGCCCATCATTTCGATTAATCGAATCCCCATCATGTCGTTGGCAAGATTCTGTAACTTGAGTCTGTTTGAAACTCTGTCACTCTTGGATTGCCAATGGAAAGCATTTGGTAGTGTTGAAATCATGTTTCAGGATATTTATATATATAATTATATATATAATTATATATATTATATATATAATTATATATATATAACTATATATATATACGTATATTATATATAATATGTATACATACATGTATATGATGTAGTAGAATAGTTGCTAATGTTTGCCAAGGCCAATCAATTATACACGCCTTTGATGTTTCAGGATCATGGCTGCCATGGCTCCAATTCTGAGGTCAGGTCGGTCAGCAGCAACTGCTCGTCCCCGCTGTCATCATACCAAAGCTGCGCGATGGGCGTGGCTTTTTAGGGCGTGGCTTTGTAGGATTTCTCCGGAGAAAATTCATGAAAATTCCACAAGTTCCCTGAGTCACCCCAGGAATGATCAGTCAACCCCAGGAATTGGCACAAGTAGATACCAAGCTGTAGATACCACTGTAGATTCGTGGCAAAATCAGTTGGATGATTATCAAGGGGACCAGCATTATGATCATCTGGGCATCCCGTTTCCACGTCCACGTCCGTGGCAACAATCCGCTGGAGGCGTGTGATTCCTAACCCAGATAGAGGCCTGATCAGCTGTAAACCGACCACTGCATCTGTTTGCGTTCCTTTAGCGAACAGAATCTGAAACCAGTCATTTGTTCGTGTCTTATGTTAAGCTGAAAGATCTGAAAGTTGACCGCTCTTGGACTGCATTCAATCACGGAACTCTACTAGCGAAAAACCTGCACCACGTCACGTGCACCTCTGAAGGTTCCAGTATTATGCAAACTGAGACCCCTGGTAACCATGGAAGTGACAACGCTGATTAGGAGGAAAAGGTTGTTCCTTCGAGGGAGGATACCCACTTCCATGAGTTGCCATGCTTGGAGTGGGTAGATGTCTAACCTTAGACACCAGTGCAACCGATCCTGGTTTAGTGGGAGCAAAACAGTCCACTACCTGCCCGGCACTTTAGTGAACAACACAGCCATGGAAATCCATCACGTTTGAATTTGGTTTAATTTAATTGTTGCTTGTCAAATTAAAAACAAAAACATGCCATGTTCTATTGCTGCTTCGCAGTTCGCAGCTCCAAAATTATGGATATGATATTCCTCCATTAATATAAATGAAGACCAATAGACCCTTGCTCCGAAAGAGCAGTTCTATTCTTCAGAACGAAAGACAATATTCCTCCATCCAAAACAAACAATGATTCCTCCATTAAAGCAAACACAAAATAAGAAACACATCCCACCAAAACCAATCGGTTCATGATAAGAACCAATCGGTTCAGGATAATAAAAACACCAGTGTTCATCTAATAAGCCAATCCATTCTGCCAGTTGCCCCAGCTTTAGCCTTGGCGATGGGCAGCTGCAAACGCTCGTAAGTTTCCTGAGGGCCGGTAACAGTGCAGGGTCACCCTGAGCGCAGCTGGTCTTTAATGGATTTCAAAGCCATGGTATCACGATTAAACGTCTATTAGTATTACGGTAATAGATTTCCTACATCTCAAAAGAAATAGTGTATGGCATGTGGAGGTGTTATGATAAAGCGGTACAAGTAAAGGCTCTTACACCCTAAACCTGAGGTTTATCTTTGGAATATTTGCAACTTCCCCTTCGCAAAAGTAAAGAAACAGGGCGCTAGGGCCAAATCCCACCCCTTGAAGCCCGTCTGTCAGTGCAGTTCTAATAATTCACCTATATGTTATTGTTCACCAGTGAGATTTATCAAATTTCATCATTGGCATCTTCAGGTCCCAGCAAATAGGGTATTCACCTCCAGCTGGTTTCGAGATCTTGCTGTAACCAGTGCAAGCAAAGATCTCGCTTGGACCATTCATAGTCTTGCAGAAGTGGCAGGGAACGCTGCCTGCCGGGCAATGCTACAGGTATCTTTCCCAAACCATCTTGCCCGGCGAAAGCAACAGCCATGGGGGTATATGAACTGTGCCAGACCCAGCCTCAACCAGTTCTCCAAAACGCTTTTGTTGGCCTTGAAACGAGGATGTGGGGCTGTGAGTCTGCTGTGAGCCTTCTGTTATCTTTGCACTTTCAAGGCAGTGACAACTCCTCAATGTATTGAAGACGAAGTGAAGACGCTATGTGATGGTCAGAATATAGAGTCGCTCACTAGCACTGTCTATTCTAAATGCTGCGGCATTTGGGCATGGATCAAACTTTGAAGCTCACTGTGATTGACTCACTGATGTTTGTATGATTCAAGCCATGCATTTTTGGGCCTAATTTGGATCCATACTTAGATTGCCAATCATGATATCCCATTGCCGTTGACAAGTCAGGATCAGATTCAAAGAGGTGAAAACAACGAGCTATCCAAACCCAGAACGCTCATCTTGGATGAAAAAAGACTGAGAAGTAGTCAATGTATATCATATATAGAATATCTGAACATCCATACAATATGTATATATAAAGATAGTCCTATGATTCCTCATGTAAGGCAGAAAAATCCAACTCTTCCACCGCCATTTCTGAAGTTTCTCAGATTTTCCTGTGAAAAGTCTGCGCTCCCTGGCGGAAAAGTCCACCAACTTCAAGGTGAAAGGCCCTTCACCGTCGTTCCAAAGCTCGACCACTTGCCTCCCTTCAGTGAAGCTGGCAGCAAAGACCAGTTCACCTCGCCTCGGGTCGATAGTGCGGCTGCATAAAAGGGCATTGTAAGTGGAATAGCCCTGTCAGATTAATGGAACAGTTCTACTTTTATTGACTGGATTTGACTGGTTATTGTTATAATATCTACAGTATATCTATATCTATATCTATATCTATATCTGTATCTATCTATATATCTATCTATATATATATATTATATTATATATTCTTGGTATATGTATTTGTATATGTATCTCCTGGAGTATCAGTTATTTTTCGTATATACACCTTTCTCAACCACTTACGATGTCTGGGATGCAGTATGGGTCTTCTGGGTGGGGAGTCCTGGGAGTCATCGTCCAATCTTTTCTCTGGTTGATGGTTTTAACCCCTGTGAAAAATATAAAAGTCAGTTGGGATGATTATTCCCATATATTATATGGAAAATAAAACATGTTTGAAACCAACCAGTTTTTAATGAAAGGACTGAATTCAGGGAAAATGTCGAACTGAAAAAGGGTGATGTAACCATCAAACAAAGATATAGAGGGAAAAAAAATGAAAAAAAACGTGAAATCCTGGGTCTAACCACTAAGACTGCAAATTCAGGGGCAGCCGCATTCTGGGAATTAACCAGAACCACAAAAAAACTTGGCAAATTACCTTCAAACATTTGTCGGGCCTTAAGCCAGGTCGAGTCTCCCGGCCAAAGTTGGGGCTACTCTTGAGACCCCTCAAATTCCCATGGCAAATCAAGGTTTTGGTGCTTGGTAATGAGTCCACAATACTGATCAAACACATATGGCAGTGTGTCAAAACCTTGTACCCCTGGTGAACATCAAAATAGCTGGTAAATGGATGTTCATCCCCCTAAAAATGGTATTAATAGGTATTGATCCATACCCATATCAAAACTCTGAGTCGGTTGGGTTCATGAAAGCCATTGCCCCGCAACATCTTTCTCCATCCATTCTGGCAACATCTTTCTCCATCAGCAAGTGAGAAGTACGCCCCTCAACTGGAGGCTCCGTAGATTGGGCAGAGTGACTTTCTCCAAGCTGTGGCTGAATTTGGAACCAAACGTCAAGTTTTGAAGGCTATGAGGAAAGATCACATGGTCGAGGCTCTGGTCGAATCCACAACCAAAGGTCAAAGTCTGAAGGCTGTCTGGCAACGTAAACCCATCCAAAGTCTGGTTGAATTGATCACCAAATGTCAAACTTTGAATACTGCCTGGCAATTTTGCTTTGTCGAGGTCCCGATTGAAATGGCAACCCAAGGTCAAGCTTCGAAGACTGCTTGGTAATTTCATATTCTGAATCCGTTGATTGAAGGTTTCACCTAAAGTTAAGCTTTGGAGAGTGACTGGCATCAACACCCCCTCCAAGCACTTGTTGAAATATCTTAAAGTAAGACTTTGCAGACTGTTTGGCAATGTCACACACTCTAGGCTCTGGTTCCGGTGAGCTGCAAAGGTCAGACTTTGAAGATTTGTTGGAAGCATTACTGGGCTGTTGTTCCCAATCGTAAAAGGGCTGAAGGTCAAACTTTGCAGACTGTCTGGTAGGATCACCCTGTCAAAGTTCTGGCTTGACAAAGGATCAAAAGTCAGAATATCAAGATTCTTTGGCAAGGTGACATGCTCCAGGCTATGCCGAAAAGAATAGCCAAGGGTCAAGCTCCTGAGACTATCTGGTAAAGTCACGGCTTCCAGGCTCTGATTGAAGTGGTGACCGAAAGTCAAGTGTTCAAGACTACTTGGCAATATCATGCCCTCCAGGCCCCGATTGAAGCAGTAGCCAAAAGTCAAACTTTGAAGGCTCTTTGGCAAAGTGGTGCTCTCCAGGCTCTGATTGAAACTGTAGCCAAAAGTCAAGCTCTGAAGATTGGGCGGAAACTTCGTACCCTCCAGGTTTTGATTGAATTGAAAACCAACATTCAGGCTCTTGAGATTCTCTGGCAACCTCGCCAAGTCCAGGCTCTGATTAAATTGACAACCTAAATTCAAGTTTTGGAGACTGTCGGGCAACATCACTCCCTCCAGGCCCTTGTTGAAGTGCGCACCCAGAGTCAAGCTTTGCAAGCAGCTCGGCAAAGTGAATCCCTCCAAAGTCTCATTGAACATGCCGCCCAAAGTCAAGCTTTGTAGATTGCTTGGCAACGTGAGCTGCTTTGGATTCTGTGTTGATAAAGCACCAAAAGCTAAGGTTCGAAGACTAGTTGGCAACCTCAAGTTCTCCAGGTCCTGATTGAAATGGAAGCCAAATGTCAAGTTTTGGAGATCATCAGGCAAGATCAAACCCTTTAGGCTTTGATTGAAACTGTACGCAAACGTCAAGCTTTGAAGATTGTCTGGCAACTTCAAACCCTCCAGATTCTGCATGCACTGAGAAGCGATTGTCAAGCTTTGGAGGCTTTCAGGTAGTTTCAATCCCTCCAGCTGCATGTCGAAGGAGTCAGCAAGAGCCAAGCTTTCCAGGTCGGGCAGGTGGTGCAAATACTCCCCGGCTGGAGCACCTGCCAGCCGCGTTACACCCTCCAGCGCTGTACAATCCCCAGGACTTGTTGAGCCTCGCACCCAACGCCAGGCAGCATACAAGTCGCTGGGCACAAAAGTGCATGACACTTCCACTTCTCCCACGATGCCTTGCTGTTGTAAGGTTTCGTTGGGCAACAGCACCTTAGATTTGGATTTGCCGAAGGACCGAAGGAGTCCTAACAAAAATGAACATCAAAGATAACCAGCTGCAGCTGCATATGCTGTATAGTATTTTCTGCTACCAGTAGAGCCTATGTTTGCATCTTTTTTGACTGGGTTCAACAGCGATAAAAACCATGACATACCTTCCCCTCACCAACCAAGGCGCCAAGGAATTGTAGCGGAGGGCGAGCCGTCGACCTTTCCTGGATGGAAGTTGCTTCAAAACCAGCTGATGCACTTCCTGCCCCTGCATCCTGGGACAAAGCTTCAATGTGAATCCTTCACCCATCAAGCAATGGACCTGCAGAATCACAGAGTCTCTGTCATCGGAAATCAAGTAGCCACCACTGGCCATGGCTGAGAAAATTTTATGCTCTCTAATAGTTCAAATTGAAATGACTGGCTTCGGATACCACTCCCGGGGGGGCTTTGTACTTTGGGGATACACCTCGAAATTCCTGTTCGACCTCACAGATTCGAAAGCCAAACAGTCAAAGCAGCCTTTGGGGTATGAGAACACACGCAGTAATCATCACCATCCCTAATTCTGGGCTCAGGCTATACTACCATCTTGCCCGTTATGAAACACTGATCCATGCTTCAGGCGTGTCTAAAATTTGATTGTATGATAATCATTGATAAACCACGACATGTACAACTAAATTGTTGAGACACTCTATTCTTGGAAAACACAATGTATTTATATTTTACATATATTGTACTTATAGCGATGATATTTAAAAAACACATGAACTTGGCCGGGGTGCAGAATACGATGAAAACGCAATTCGGCAAGATCAGGGACCCGGGGGGGTACTTTTCCAGGTCACATTTGATGCGCCACTGCACGGAAGGACCGGAACTCCTTTTGATCCTCAGGGGGCCATGGAGTCACTTTGGTGCTAAAGTTGGGTTTAATGGGAAAACCATGGAACAAATCGTTGTAGCATGTTTGAACCACCATCGATTGGGTATGTATGCGTGTATGCGTATGTGTGTATAGCTCTATATATATATGATTATATGAGTATATATATATATATACTATACGTATATTATATCCCCTCGGTATATTGGGGATATATTGATATATAGGATATGTACCCACTTACAATATCAAGTGGAACTGCATCGCAACAAGCCGAGGACAAAAGTCTCAAGTTCAATGTGGAACTTAATTCAAGTGGGGATGACTTTGGAATCAGACAAACTAACTACCAACCTTCATACACAAGCAAATACCAACATCTATTGACCCACCGTTAACTAATGTTACAAGCAACGTAGGTGAAGTGGTCCTGTCAAAGAATTTCTTCCAAAGGCGTTGATGCCAGTGACATCTCGACGTGAGGTCGTGATGTTTTTGTTTTTTCCAGATATTTAATGACTACCCTCTGGTAATTTAACATAACTATGGAAAATCACCATTTTTCATGGGAAAACTCACTATCTCTATGGCCATGTTCAATAGCTATGTAACAAACTACCAGAGGGTATATAATCATCTGGTTAAATAATAAATATCTGGATAAACTTCATCACGTCAATATTCTGGATATGTTTTAATGTCATCCAGGTATACATATTATTGGCATGACATCACCATATTCCCAATATGTTCTGGCGAAGTCCCAAAACATGCTGGCTAAGCCACCATGTTTTAAAGATAATCAAAACCATCCCACCAATATCCGCCATGATATTCATGATTTCCTCAGTAAAATATTAGTAACATCATGAACTGGTTGGATAAATATCTTCAAATCATATGATTTCCTCAGTAAAATCACAATTTCTTCATTGAAGAGCAAAACACATGCCCCTTCAAGCGCTTGTCCTTGCTACTGAAGTATCCAACTGCGCTGGTCCCATTCGAGACCTCCCAAACTTGGAACCCCCTGCGTATGACCCAAACTGTCTATGGGGATATAGTTAATGGTATAATGTGTGTACTGCAATAGTAAACCATCCCCAAATTACCATACATGGGTGGTATAAACCATCAACGTATGGGTGGTTTATGCTTCACTAACATTGTATCCAATCAATAATATGGTATGTATATGATGTTCCAATATGATATATCAATCATAAACTTGGAGACTTTCTATGATATGGCTGTGTCTTAAGCCTCCTACATTTACCACAAAGTTACTTTATTCAATGGGAAAATGGCTGATAGTCCGTTGGAATCAAACTCCTCATCTCTCTGGGCACAGCATGCCCCCAAAAAATGTCCACTGGTTAACCACTACTGTAAAATACCCTCTGCTAACTACATCCCAACAGAAAAAAAAAACGTTGTTTTCAATAGGAATATCACGGAACTACGATCAAATGGGCCATCTATACCATAGCTATATATGTCAATGGTATAGCCATGTCAAATCACCAAAGGCTATGTCCAGTGAAAAACATGACTGGTTGGTGGTTTCAACCCCTCTGAAAAATATGAAAGTCAGTTGGGATGATTATTCCCAATATATGGAAAAATAAAGTTCATGTTCCAAACCACCAACCAGATATTTTTTTGGGATGCTGATGCACCTGCAGGTCTTGAACTTCACTGGAAGTCACTTCCCGGACGGCTGGACCTCAGATCGTGGGCGAAAACAGAATGGCCATGGGCCATGACTAGCAATGGGAAAACATGATGTATAATGTATAAAATATAATATATATATACATATGTATAACATATCATATATATATATAATATGACATATATGTATCATATATCATATATCATATTGATACAATTCATTAGAAGCCAGTAAGAGTTGCAATGGCCAGACTTCATTTAACAGTCATCAATTGTGAACTACATCAGGGCCGTAACTGAGCCATGGGGCTGTGAAGATTTAGGGCGGATCTCACCCACAGTCACAGACTTCAAGCAAACATATACACCAAAAAGATATAAACAAAAACTGCGGGTACACACACAACCATATATAAATATATTACATCTATCTATCTGTCTGTCTGTCTGTCTATCTGTCTGTCTATCTGTCTGTCTCTCTCTCTGTCTGTCTGTCTATCTATCGATCTATCTATCTACAGTGTCAACTTTGACGATTGGCATGCAGCACACCAAACCAGCGAAACAATAGGCAAGAATGCCGCGCGTCTTTTGCTGGAGACGGTCAAACCTTCAGTGAGTCAATCTAAGTTAGTTGCGCATAAACACACCCCGGGCTGAAACCTCTGAAGTACGTATATAATTTAATGGATTGTAACACGAAACAATACACACTCCACATTTACTTTTGTCGACATTTTTGGAATTCGCAAACCTTGACAAAGATTATATACAACATATACATTGTCTTCATGCTTGGGTTTACCGCAATACCAACTCTTTGCAAAAGAACAACTGGCAATCTCAGCAAATCAAGATAAACCAAGGCCGAAGAACTGGTATTCCTGCCATTTCCTGCCCATGAACTGAGATCTCTGCCTAAGAATCTCTCAATCTCAGTCAAGAGTTTGCTCTCTTCATGTTGGCTCTTGATCCGCGCTGGCTCCTGCAAGTTGCAAACACCGAAGCTTCACCAGGTCTGGTTTGCGATACAAACATATCTGTTTGGTCAGTACATGTTCATTATGCAAGTTTATGTAATGTGGTATAGCCAAATAATCAACCATACCCAAGTCCCAGCATGACTAGAAATGGTTGGTGAATATCATCCCCAAATGGTGTATGGCATTGGCTTTACTAACATTATATATCTACTAGTTCTATCATGTTCTATCCACAAGCCATGAGACTTGCAAGGCTGGCCCACCTCTTCGGGCGAACCGTTGAAGATCAAATATTCGCCTTGGGCGCCCGCCCGGGCCGCCATGATCGGAGCCCAAAGGTTTGTAAAAACTCGTCAACGGGAGGTGGAGTCCAGCCAGGATCTAGATTGTACAAGTTATGGTGATCTAGTGTGTGATAATAATGTGATATATATATATATATGTGTGTGTGATAATATATAATGGTGATACATAATATAATATATATATATAGGAAAACTCATGCTTTTATTGATGATCTAGTGTGATAATAATAAGCAACAAAAGTGAATAAAAGTGATACATTTTTCGATATTTTGTTGTGTCTGAACATGGGAAATCCCTGATGAAATGGTGTGCCCTAGGTTCAAACAAAGCCATTGAAAAATGGTAAAGAAGAGGCTGTTTGCAACATTAAAAACGACAAACTTACATTCTTTCAGTGATCCCCATCCACTGACATTCTATCTGACATACATTCTGACAGTCTATCTGGCATTCCATCTGGCATTTTATCTGACATATATATATTCTGACATTCTATCTGGCACCATTTCTTGGATCTATTCTGAAATTCTACCTGGTATATCTTCGGGTCCAGGCGTGCACCACTGTCTCCGGAGCTCGCGATAGGGCTCGGCGACGAGCTGGCAGAGGAGTGGAGGAGTAGAAGAGGAGATGAGGAGAGGAGGGGAATGACCTGGCAGGTGGGGGAAAAATCACATGAAGATTGAGTTTTAGATTCATGCTGATGCTTTGAATGCCACAGAAATCCAACTTCCCCAAAATAGCAAAATCCATGAAACTCGAAGCCTTCATATGACGCATAATTACATATTAAATCACATTAATATGTATGTATACTACTGTTTGGGGTTATATTGTTGTTATCCCTGTTGATATCACACTGTTGGTCCTATTATAGTTGATTTTTATTACTGTTACTTGGTACTGATCTTGAACTATGTGCGCAATAAAGCCTGGGTCTACGTATTTCTATAGATACACAATCATATATGCATATGTTCCTTTGTGGGATATTGTTGGGTGCACTGAAAAACTCAGTGGTTACCTTCTGCTTATTTAATGTGCTATAGAAAATCACAGTTTTAATAGGTAAACAAGTATAAAACCTTAATAATCTATAGGTAAAACAATATAATTATTTAATTTCATCATCTATAGATTAACCATTTCTCATAGCACACTCTTAAATAAGTAAAGGGTAAGAAAAAACACACACACACACAAAATGCAATTTCTTAACCACAACATCAATCTGAGGCCCCATCAATTATAGCTGCAAGTCACGGCAAGTTCTCTAGCCTGGCAGCAATGTGCGGCACCCTCTGCTTACTATGAAAAACAGTTTGCTATATGGAAGCCATGGCCCATTGGAACATTTGCATATTTTATGATTATTGACACTTTACATAACTTTACATATTCAATCAATCATATTGATGAAGAAAGCCATAGAAAGCCTCTTAAACATGGTGACTTTCTGGATCTTCCATGGTCCAGTTTGCTACGTGAAAAACCAGAGGATTTTTGTGTGCAATGCTTGGCTAAATGGTTTTGAATTCTGAGAGAAATATCCGTACCCTCCGGGATGGTTGAGTCGGACGTGTACAGTATATTGAGATGTGATAGCACATCACAAATTTCATCAAATTTCAGTCCCAGCACAAGTAGGCTTTCATGATGTTCTTCCATGGCTTTCCATGTTTCAAATGTTGTACTAACACCAGAATTTCTGGTTGGGAATCAACTCACCATCTCCCTTTCCCCACAACCCACAGTCGGTCTGGCCAAGGGCTTGTTCTCACGCGCATCCAGGTAGGCAAATGCAACCTCAAGCGCTATGGTTGACATGGGGCATAAATGGGACAACAAAGCACAGCAAACAATATTCGAAACTGTCAATTTAGGACACTGCTTCCCAAGATGTCATACAGGATTCGGTCTCTGTATGTGTTTGTTGGTTCTTCGATGTCCGATTCCAAGAATGACAAGCCATGGTAATTCAGGAATGACAAGCTTGGAGAATCCAACGTACCAAATGGTCTAGGTGAGTTGGGCAGTTGGGCATGCACGTCATTTTTTGCAACATGCATCTTAAGTATAGTAACAGAAAGAAATCAAAATAAACTGATATAAAAGTATGTGCCAAAGTACAGGCGTTTTTGTTCCAACAGCTGGATTTCCGGTGGTTTCTTTGTTTTTTCCAATTCAACCAACCAATCAACCATGACTCATCCAGATTTTGCCATATCTACCCATAAACTAAGAACCTTATCAGATCTGTAAGTGATCCAGCCAGAAAGAACCACCCAGCCGCAGAAGTTTTGCCTTCTTCCACTCTGGATTTTTTTTGCCTTTCGCCTGGCCGCAGCAGTTTCATGCGCCAATCCTTAAGTATCTGGATTGGAGAATCCAAAATCTATAACACATTTAATAATGGATAATATTGATACTCGACTCTAAAATAAATAGATATATGACTTTAATAATACTGGACTGATAATTATACTGATAAGTCTATATGACTCGACTCTATAATAAATCGATATAAAATGGATCATGCTGATACTAAATTGTACCCGGAAAAAAACTGTCATGACAACGTTTGAGGACGTTTAAGGCATGTCAAAGGTCTTCAGTCTCCTCAACATCAACCATCATTTGTGGCGAGGTTGTTTGAGGTTGTCCTTTTGCACTCTTGTTTGCGGGTACCCTCTGGTAAACTAACATAACTATGGAAAATCACCATGTTTAATGGGAACATCCACTATAAATGGTCATTTTCAAAAGCTATGTTAAATTACCAGAGGGTAAATGTTCCATTTAATTAGTTCTTCGGGGTACCGAGGAGCTGGCTTTTAAAAGCACTGAATTCATCTGAATTCCCTCAAGCCCACACCCAAACCACTCTCGCCACCTTGGCAGCTGCTGATGCCTTCAAAAAAATCTGATCCTGAGCAGCTAAAGGCAACACATGATTCATGCATCCCATGAGTTTGTAAGTATATAATAGTATATATATATACAGTATACATATTATATGTATACATAGGTATACATATTATATGTATGCATAAATGCACGTACAGAAGCAATTGAATGTAAAGAAACATAATGTAAAGTAGTGTAGTCTCTGTGGTGGGTGTGACGTGGCGTGGGCTGGATTGGTGGGCTGTGGAGTGGCAAGGTGTGGTGTGGTGTCGGGTTATATCTAATGTTTTTTCACATGGCATTTCATGTCACTTGATTTTCAGGTACACGCATCTTATGGTACTTAGTTGTGATGAAAGTGTATGTTGTTGTCTTTAGATTAGACATCATAAGACATGTTGCAACATGCATCTATGATCATCTCTGCGTAATGCCTAAACAAATTATATAATATAATTTTGCTCTTTAAGAGCAAACATATGTGTTTTCGTGTGTTTTCCCTATGGACACACCATCATCTACCAACATGCAAAAGGCAAGCAACACACAGGACCATTTTTATGCCTCTAGGTATCGGCACATCAGGACTCCAGGACAGGCCTCAGAAACTGAGTCCCAAGCAGTGGACTTGCATTCGCTACACCAAGGATACCTGGATGCTGCTGGTGGGTCCCGTTGGAAACCGACACAGGACGCAGGATGTGAATCATCGGCTGAGAACTACCGAACTACCAGCATCTGTGGCAGAAGGACTTCACCCACAGATTAGGAAGTTCAAACAGTAAGGACAAAAAGAATCGGATGAACAGACAAGACGCGATGAAACCAACAAAAGGACTTAAGTTTGGTCACTCTGAAAGAAGATACCCAGAATCAATGCCCTGATGGAAAACATGTACAGGAAACCATGCTGGTTTGATCCCGCAAAATACCTTACAGGTGTCCGTATTGATCAACATTTGAATTGTGTATTAACCAAACCAACATCAAAAAAAACTTGATGTAGAGAAAAGGTAAACCATAATATTAAACTGAAATCATTAAGCTCATTTGGGGCAATATAGCCTATACATTCACCATGATTCCAGTGAGGTCACGACGTGAGGTCACTATAATTTACCCAGAAAAGATAGGGAATTCCTCTGAACGTTTCTTTCCCAGGCTCCAAGCCGCACATGTCAAACGCCTCGCAGCTACGACCAGGCAGGAATGAGCCGCGATGGTCCTCAGCTGGTGATGGCTGTGGCTGGTGGGGATTTTACCCAGGGGAGAAAACACAACCACTGATATCATATATGTGGATATATATAATATGTAATATGAATATTAGTCCAGTGTGTGCCGAACATTTGGAACCCCCCCCCAAAAAATGTGGCAATTTTCATGGGAAAATATGAGACACACCACTGGATTTTAAGGGCTACTTGCACTGAACCTGGTAGCTTGCAGTACAAAACCTAAACGATTTGGAAATATTACGCTATGCACATATCTCCGTAGATGGGTATGAACCAATGACCAGCCAATCTGTGAGCGGGGCAGGTACTTTCTTTCCTCGAAACCGTGGTCAAGCTTAGGTACTCTGCAACAAGTTACAGTAGCTTTTAGCAAGATGACTCAATAGAATATACATGAATATACTCGATATCTACCAAGCAAACAAAGCTGAACCAATCATTTGCCAGTCAGTCGAACCTGAAAAAAAAAAACAAACTAGGTCCCCGCGCTTGTTGAAGTTCTTCTCATTGAGTCTCAGAACTGTCTCCGCATCGTCAAACAACACCATCTGGCAGCCGTATATCTTCAGGGAGGTTTTAAAGGACACAGTCCAACCTAGTTTGTATAGAATGGTATAGAATCACTATTAGGCGATTGACGGCCATCCTCCATAAAGACCTTCTGTTCTATGAGTCGGAGGCAGCAACACATGTGGCAACCCCACCGAAGAAACATACGGAATTAGGCATTTATCGCGTTTTTCAACCATATGCGTGGTGCTAAACACCATACCACCAAAAGGGGATAGCTGCTGCAACCAGTCGGAATGTGAAAAGAAGTATCCTCTCTGTTGACATGCAGAACATGATAATCTACACGAATCTACACAACAGTATTATTGTGAGAGTACTTCAACCAATCTTCCAAACATGCCCAAAGACGCTTTAGGGCGCATCGCTTCTTTGTTGCCAGGGCTGTATTTTAACCCATCCAGATCCACTTCAATGCATCGAATCCCCACAGGGGTTGGAGCCCAAACCCACATGCATCACTGACATAGGCTGACATCTTTCAAATCCATTCGTTTCCGGGTGTGGATCAAAACTCCAACCCCAAATCCCTGATAAATCGATGTTCATCCCGAAAACATATCCAACTATGGCAATTTATAGGTTTCGACCCCCATCCCTATGCCACCACATGGTGCCTCTTCGGTAGGTTCTAAGTTCTGATCTTCACGGGTCCAATCCTGCTGGCTTCGAGGTGGTGGGAGAGGCCATGCGATCAAAACTGCATCAGTACACACAGGTGCATATGTGTAGATACACTCAAACCCTCTGAACTATGTATACATATATAAATATACATATATATATATACAATTATATATACATATATACAATTATATATACATATATATATACATATATATATAATTATATATATATACAGTATGGATATTAGTTAAGATGAAAGTAGATGAAAGTAGATCACCCCAAATTTAGTCGAGCCAAAAAACTTCCTCAGATCGCATTCTCATGGAGAAAACTGGCAGATACTGGCTGATCACTTGCCCATTCGAATAGGATCTCAAAAAGAACTTAACAGTTCGGAGGTTTCCTAAAATGGGGGGGTACCCATGGGTACCCCGAAATCATTCATTTTTATAAGATGTTCCACTAGAAACAACTTTGTTTTTACCATCCAGCTATTGGGGTACCTCCATTTCAGGAAACCTCCATATCGACTCGTCAAAATCCCAGACTCCCGGATCTTCGCCATCCTTGTCGATCAAACCTTTAAACTTTTTGCTGCTTGTCAGCAGGTCCCAGCGGTGTGCGTGACCTTTTCCTGGCGAGATGAGCACGATTTTGATGGGGATATCATGAAATATCTACAGATAGGTAGATACGTATAATTCTTCACCAATATCATGGCAGAATCAGAAGATATCATGGTGACCACGTCTGATAATTCATCTCATTTCCACACTATGGGTTGAAAACTTATAATCCTTCACTTCACCAACCTCAATAAATGAGGTCACAACTTGTAGTGGTTCCCGTCACCATAGCAGCAAGGAACAGGAGACGATGGCATGTTGAATCAGCCCCTCTATGCGTGCCTTGACCTGCCGCAAACTACGTTTTGAACTACGTCTGAGATGGCAATCAACTTGCGGAGAAACACAGGCAATTCATGGTGATTAACCATCAACAAGTGGGATCCAATGGGGATGTAATGGGACATAAATGGACATACCCTCTGGTAATTTAACATAGCTATTGAAAATGGCCATTTATAGTGGATTTACCCATGAAAAATGGGGATTTTCCATAGCTAGGTTAGTTTACCAGAGGGTAACTATAGGGAGTCCCACTGGGAGTAGATTCCTGCATCCAAACAATCACATGGAGCTCCCCAAAGTTCCCCCCACGGCCTAAGGTGATGAACGTCGCAGTGCCCCACTTGTCGGGTCTCGCCGCAATCTCCCACTTGAGACTTTCCTCACGGCCGGCTTTATATGATGTTTCACAGTTCCAAACTCATTTCTGAAGCACTAACCATCAACTTGCCATTAGGACCCAAACTCAGCTGGATTTGGCTCTCTGCATCACCTCCCTAGTGAAAATAAATAACACCTGTTTTATGATCAACAGAACATACAAATCTGGCCATCCTGGCGATCAATTTAGTGGGACCAAAATTGAAGCCATGCCGCCTGCTTCACCTCATCCCTCAAAGGAAGTCGAAGCACCTCGAGGAACTGGGCTTGCGATCAACAGTTTTTTTCGCCATGCCAGCAATAGCTGTCAATTGACCCGTCATATCTTTGCACTATAGTAATCTAGTATTATACAATATTATACATACGTATAGATATTTGACGTTTGCCTATATCACGCATGCGAGCAGTATATAAATATGTATCCGTGCTCTGACTGGTAGTCCTATCAAGTATGTGTTCGACACATTTGAGCATGACAAGGGCTCTCAAGCACCAACAAGTAAGTCACTGTATCCGAGGCACTATTTGAACCACCATGAAACACATGACTCGAACACTAGCAGTTTATTGGACGACAAGTTCTCTTGACAACTGTAACCTCATCCGGGCACCCTGGGACCCTCCGAAATTTCCATGATGTCACTGCACCGGAACCATGTGTTTCCCAAATGACTATAGCTGGTTGGTGGTTTTAACCATCTTGAAACATATGAAAGTCAATGGGAAGGATTATCCCATATCTTATGGAAAATAAACCATGTTCCAAACCACCAACCAGATAGGCAACTATAGGCCCAGCCGCATTCTCATCACCGGCTTTGCCCTGGGCGGAAAAGCGAAGGTCCTTAGCTTCGGTGATGCGTGAGCCTGGGTGATATATGACGACCCAAAGCGCCGGCGGCATGGAGATCTATTACATCATATTACATCATGCTTGGACCACAAGCAGAACATAGCAGAACCACAGACCTTTGAGTGTATCTGTTTCATGTTTGAAACAACTATCCTGACAAAGTTGGTGCTTCGAGAATTCGAGATCTGACAAAATGTGGAGCTAAGGTCCTACAAACCATTGGCAATCCTTTTCTGCCGCCTGTACAGTGATTAGCCCCAAAATCCTTTTCCAAAACAAACACTTTTCTTTGTGGGGGAACCCATGGCTGTGGTGATTCCATTGTCTGCTTGAGCTGTCGTCCCATCATGCTTCAGTTCAGAGTGATCATGAATTAATATAGATACATTGTTCATATATAGTAATCATATGTATATACGATTTAGGTGTATACAGTTTATATATGGTATATATATATATATATTGCAAAAATCATATCGAAATAAGAACCTCAATATTCATAACGTTGGGATTTTCCGTTTTTTTTTTTGGGGGGGGTCATCCCCCACAACTCACCACCGAATCTGAGAGGCCGAACGCTCTCACTGTCCAGCTGTACCGACCTCAAAATCCCGTGGGGCCACGGAAACTGTGACGGGGTTAGAAAAAAATATGAATACATTGTGATCTGGAAACTATGGTTCAATTTTTGAAAGAGTAAAACCATATATATATATATGTATATATATGATTATATGATTATATATGGATGTGTCCTAAAATGGGAGGTACCCCTAAATCATCCATGTTAATAATAGGTTCCAGTATAAACCATGCCATGTTGGGGATCCACCATTTATGAAAAAAAACACGCACCAAATTAAACCACCAGACCATTGGACGTGTGTCCTAAGCGAGGATCTCAGTCAGCCCTGGCTCCACATGTGTCCATAATGTTCAATGGGGCCAGGGCTAAGTACAGTAAATAAAACCAGATATGACTCGACTTGGTCAAATCCTACCAAAAAAACCAACAAGTGGTTTCCATGTAATCCTTTTCTATCCTTTTGGGGGGACCCACTGTTCTGCTATGACCACCTCTTTCAGCATTGCTGGCATTGCTCATCCCAAAGATCTTAGGACTTCACACCGTGTCAGCCTTCAAGTCTCGCCTTGCTGCTTCAGAGGCCCCCCCCCCTCCCCCTTTTGTTTTTTTTACAATGGACCGATCATGACCGATCCAGTAAAACCATAAGATCAAAGGTCTTTCAATGAGTCCCCTGTTGTTGCTGTTGCTGCTGCTGTTTGATGGTTTTAGGAACATCTGATGACCATGGGACCATGGGTCACTATCGAGTGACAGTAAACGCTTCGATGAATTGACTTGGTACAGTAGGGAGTGGTGCATCAAGGCAAAAGCCTCCAACAACATCTATAACAATCTATATTCTACATATAACATATTATAAACTATTATAAAATGCTGTACCCGACTTTTGGAACAGATTGGTTCTTCAAGCACCACACAATATCAGTCGGACAGCTCCGCCCACTGCCATGGCAACCATCTCACCGGAGTGTGTAATCCATTGGTGTTCATCTAATATTTGAAAGCGCTTCCCTGTGCAAAGAGTGACAGTGTACCTCCAAACCCATTCAGGTAAACCACCTTCAGACCGCTAGTTACCAACCCCCGATTCCGCTCTTTTTTGTCGAGATGGTGTCAACTGTCAACCCATCCAGAAACAAACACTGGAACACATCACATATGTCCAAATATATGTCCCTCGTCGATGTATGGTACGTTTACATTACGTTTACCTTATACAAAAAGAATACGTTTGACTGTTGGGCAACAATGTTGGTATTCATCATAGCCTCTGGTCGTTTATCAGTTTAACATAGCCAAGGAAAATGACATAGACTGACCGATTTCTAGATATTATTTACCTATAATGTTCGGCCATTTTCAACAACTGCCTGCAGTACAACCGCCATTTCAACAAGCGTCTGTTCCACCTGGAAACACCGTTAAAACCTCTGAGAGCAGTACACCATCACCGAAATGAAGAGCAGATCCTTTTTGCGGATCCAACGCTGCTTGCACTGGACAATCCACCATGACTAAATGATGCTCCTATGTGCCAGGAATATTATGAAAGGACTGGATTGTCCATCGCCATGATTGTTGACCAAAACTATGCGTAGCGCAACGTGCAGATGTGAATCACGAACTGACAAATGCTTAAAATATCTTAAAATTATGTAAAAAGTATCAACCACTCATGATTTGCTTGTCCGTGAAATCTCATCAGTCTTCTGTGAAATCTGCATGCCATCTGTGGCTCGTCCCCAATTTGCAACTCATGGAAATCCATCTGGAAAACCCCGCATTGCTTCCCTCATCGGCCTTGTTCTGGGCCCACTTCACGCGTGGAATCACTGTCTTTCCATTCCCCAGCGTGCATAGGACCTAACACAGGTGGACCATTGAAAGCCTCTGAGCCAACGCATGACAGAAATTCAATGAAATTCATGGAAAAGAAATCGAGAATCCTTCCTAATATCATTTGATACTGGTGAAATTTCATGGGTCTACATGGATATTAGATAGTCAAAAAAACTGATCCCATCATCTGCATAGATGGTGGACTGCTGTGTGATTTCCTAATGGCACTGGATGTCAACCAGCTCTTCAAAGCCGCCCAGAACGCTACAATGGACTGGACATGTTAAATGTAAACAAGGGCGGTTCTTGAAATGGGAGAGCCCTACGCATTTGGTTCTCCCATTCAAAATAATGTTTAAGTTGGATGATTTGGGGTCCCCAGCTTTAGAAACCACCATATCTAGGTGAACCAAACGGTGTGTAAACCATTTTAAACCTTCCCATTCCACCCGCTTGGCCTGGACCCTGCACCCAAAACAGCTGAAGGACCGCACCAAGTGCACAAAGGCTGCAAGGCAAAGTCGCGACATGAGTCCAATCCTTTGCAACAGAAAAAAACACGTCATCGGAACTACTATAATAATCTATAATATACTAGTCTCATCTACTGTCCATGGTTCAAGTGATTCAAGTACATATCAACAGAAACCAAAGAGATCAAATGGTTTGCAAAACATCAAATTTTCCCTGGCAGATCTGGTCGTTGGGCACCATCTTGATATCATTTCACCCTACGTTTATGTTCCCATCCCGGACATGTTACCAGAATGGACGATTCTACATGATCAAACTTCACCTAATTTGAAACTTTCATTTCGACCGCCATAGTTTCACGTCAGCTGCATCAGCCGCTGTCTCAAAACCCAAAGGGCTGCCACAGATTTTTCCATCTACCAGTACCACAGTACGGACATTTGGAGAGGACACTCATGAAACCATTCCTGTAGAATATAGGAGTCAAAATGCTGCACCTTAGATTCCGCTCCAAAAGAACACAACTCGCGGGGTAACACTTCCCTGCTTTGATAGTTATGATGATCAGCCGAATCCGTTCATCAGTCGTCTTTCTAGACACCCCATGTTCAAACATCCCTTGATTCAACACATCTGATAGGATTTCAATGGGATCATCATCCCAAGATTGAACAAAAACAGTCAGCAAAATTGGCGACCGCATCCACGCATCATTTCTGATCAAGCCCGTGAAACGGCCTTTGAGCGTCAAACGACCCACTGCTCGTCGAGATTCAACCAGCTGCAGGCAGTCACTATGTACAGCCGGGGGTTTAGATAGATGGGTTTGTCGACTTGGGAAATTACCCCGTTCCAGTGTTTTTCCGTCGAAGGGGACATCTTCCCATTTTTTTCGGGAGACACCCAGAAAACATATACAGCCAAAAATGCAGTAATGACTTTACTTTGTGTGATCCCCACCGTGGCCCGTGGCATATATTCTGCCATTCTAACATCTTGTCTGACATACTTTCTCACATTGTATCTGACAACTATTCTGACACGGTAGATAATCTTTAACCTTGACCTTAAACTATGTTGTTCCATACTCAACTTCACTAGCAATACATTCAGCGCGACAAAACGTAGCATTTTGACAACAATATTATTGCTAATAAACTTCTGTTGGCTGCTCAATGTATAAATATATATATATAGATAAATGTAAATGTTAGTTAAATCAACCCACCAACAATATTCCTAATGGATTCTCATGGAATACCTACTATTCTTTCCATAACTCCACCAAATGTTGAGATTAGGGGTTGATTCATCAGGGGGGACCAACCCTATCAAATGCCCAATTTGTACCGAAAAAACAACAAAACAACACTTAACGGACAAACCCATTCTACGGATTTCTACGCTACTACCACGGTATATTGTTGGTTCTCTATTCATTTCCTAATTTTATTCCCAGTTTTTGCTGGGTTTTCCCGGTTTTTGCTACATCCCCCTCATCTTTTATGATTCAAGACTTGCTCACCATCCAACATACCGCAGTTCCCTGTCATACCGGTGCAACACCGGAGGGCACCAGCGGTGGCACGCTGTCCTGTGAGAAAATTGCTTGGCAACTTGGCAACTCCGTATACTGCAATTTGCCAGGTCCGTATCAAAGTCTTAGAGAGAAGCAACAGAAAAAAAATACTTTACTTCGTGTGATCCCCACCATGACATTTATACATTTTGTTACTGGCAAATCTTCTGGCATTCTATCTGACATATTTTCTGGCATTCGATCTGGCATATCTTCTGGCATTCTACCTGGCATATCTTCTGGCAGATGTTCTGGCATATCTTCTGGCAGATGTTCTGGCATATCTTCTGGCATATCTTCTGGCATATGTTCTGGCATATCTTCTGGCATTCCATCTGCATTCTATCTGGCATATCTTCTGGCATATTATCTGGCAAATCTTCTGGCATTCCATCTGGCATTCTATCTAGCATATCTTCTGGCATATTATCTGGCAAATCTGCTGGCATTCTATCTGGCAACTTTATCTGGCATTCTGGCACATTCTATCTGGCATCTATCTTCTGGCATTCTATCTGGCATATCTTCTAACATTCTATCTGGCATATCTTCTGGCACTCTATGTGGCATATCTTTTGGCGTGGATACTCGCGGTTGAGGTCCGGCAGGGAACACTGGGCGTGGATGGTCGTGGTTGAGGTCCGGCAGGGAACACTGGGCGGGGATACTCGCGGTTGAGGTCCGGCAGGGAACACTGGGCGTGGATGGTCGTGGTTGAGGTCCGGCAGGGAACACTGGGCGTGGATGGTCGTGGTTGAGGTCCGACAGAGAACACTGTGGATCGCGGGTCGCAGTTGGACGAGGAGGACGACGAGGAGGACGACGAGGAGGAGGAGAGGAGATGAGGAGAGGAGAGGAGAGGAGGAGCAGGCAACTGACATAAAATCTAACAACCCTCACCTGGCAGGTGGGGAAAAAAAACTTTATTAAATCACATGGGTATGGGTCAATACCTATAGATACATTTTTAGTGGGATGAACATCCATTTACCAGCTATTTTGGGGTTCACTAGGTACCAGGGTTTTGACCCATCCCCACATTGATATGTTGTGTAGTCCTAAACTCGTACCATACCCCATCACAATCAATAACATACCCTTAAAAGATCCAAGGTAGAATGGGACATCCGGTTTTCTGCAAACAAATTATCTACACATGGACAATTTCTGGCACAATATTGGTTTACCAGAAGAAAGTAGCCACTTTCGAAAAACTGTCCACAGTTTACATCACCACATTGTGCATTTGACAGCGCACATTTACCCCTCAATTGTCGAGAGTCGAGAGTAAACTGAGGGAACCAAATTCACAAGGCACCTTTGGAAAAAAAAGAAAACTGTAAGATCGCCAAGAGGGGAAATGTGTAAGCTCGTGGCTCTGAAGCTTATGTCGTATGTCACTGGTTATGTCCCAAACGTGCTTGGAGCCCCACAAGTGATGCACATTTTGGGGTCAAACTCATCCTGATATGATAACACCATTTCCAGGAATCGTTGAGGAAATTGGAGGAACCATCTGGAAAGGAATTTCGGAATTTCCCTCGTTTGAGCGAATACTTTAGTCACTGGCAAGGAAAATCAACAAAACTGAAACCACCAACCTGGTCCGGCCAATCTCAGTCGCAGACTGTCCCACATTCCACACTTCGATAAAATTGCCGAAAATTGCACTTGTTAGCAGTTTTTGCAAACTGCGAGTATATGACATTTAATATTGTAGTATATATATATATATCTGGGTAAATTATAATATTTCACTAACCTGAATTAAGGCCATTTGGGGATGATTCCCCTTATTAACCATCATTCCCAGTGACGTCGCAGTGAGGTCGTTATAATTTTCCCAGATATATGAGGCATGAAAAAACAGATGTCATCCCATCGTGTGACTGCTTCCTCCGGATTCCCTTCAGTTGCGATGTCATCCCCTGGTCGTTTGAGGGTTTGACCTGGCCCAAAAACTCCACTGGTTGATCATCATCATCGCCATTCGCCATTTTGGGGTTACCCTCTGGTTATGTCAAATAGCTATTGACAATGACCATTTATAGTGGATTTTCCCATTAAAAATGGTGATTTTCCATAGTTATGTTAAATTACCAGAGGTAATACGTCATTTTCAAACACACACCCACAGATCAAGCATCATCAACCGTGATCCAAAAATGCGCTCAAACCATCTCAAACCTACTTGACGAGCTCCTCGAAAGCAAGCTTCACAGCTTTTGGCAAGCCTCGCCTGTCGCACAGAGGACCCAGCTACCTCCATCAGTGGGTGACATATCCTGGTGGTTTATAAACCCCATTAATTAACTAGCAAGTTGTAAGTATATCATAAACCATCATAAACCATATAGTTATTAGTTATTGGAGTTACGTTCGCCAACTTAGATATCGACCGGGGGCCCCACATGCCCCACATTGTGGTTGATTGCTGACTTGGGTTGGACGCCGGCGTTCCAACAGCAAAACGATGCTGGGATTATCGCAATGACGTCGCAATGACGTCGATCTACCATTGACGTCTTCCATGTACTCTCTATCTTGTTTCAAAATGTTTCAAGTAAACAAATGAAGCCGTTCCTGGTTTCAACATCGTTCAACCATGTTCAACCCACTTTGGGTGTGACAACCAGTGTTTTGTGACAAACTATGTGAAATTTCTATGGTTTTCCCACGGCAGTTTCCCCAAGAATTTCACGCGCCTATTGAAGTCCAAGGCGAAGGACACCTTCTGACCCCTGGGTGCCGGTGCTCAGGTCGCTGTCAACGTTGTTTTGTTTGGTTGACAAAGATAAGAAAGGCATAGAAAGGCTGTTTAACGTACAGAATCTTCGACCATTTGTTGCATTTGTTTATATTCATCTATGTGATTTGTTGTTGTTCTTTGACGTTTGTTTGTTGCATATTGATTCATCTTTGACCGTTTGACCACGGCTTTGGTCAACAGCAGAGGAATAATCAGTAGACCATGCAGCCACAAGAAAAAAAACGCTCCCTGATATCCGCTAAAGTCATGGAACCCCCCACCCAGATAAAATCAACGCAGCAATTGTTCTACAAAAATACAACAAGAAACAAAACAACAACTATATAAAACAAAACAGAATCCTCAACATTCAAATACAACAACTACTTGATTCCAAATAACTATAGTTGTATTGTATATCTAGACTTACGGACTGTAATATTTTAATATGTAGTTTACATTGCGTGTAATACGTGTGAAATGTCAGAATTGCAAAGATATTTTGTAAATCCTCAAAGGTAGCCCATGATTCCATTCTGCTCCCTTCCAACCCCTTCCGGTCACATGCTCTATTGCATCTGCCCAAACATGTTCTACAAAAGGAACGCCATGTGGACACGACACCAAGGGGCCAGTTCCACTCGTCATGCGGTAGAAGCCGCGGCGCGAAAAACACCTCAAGAGCTGCTGGTCAGTGTTTTATCCAGTGTTTGATCCCGGCAAAATTGCCTACATTTTTGGATGGAATTTGGATGATTTGGGAGTCTCTTTTGATTTAAAGTGATTTAAAGGGTGGCATAGCTATCTCTATATATAGCATTGTCTAGCCGAGTCTAGCCACCTATTTGGGCAAAGCAAAACAATTTACAATGATCTTTTCTTGACTCTTAGAGGCATCGCCAATCAATGAAATCCAGTCTTATTCCAGAACAAGCGCTGAATATAACGCTGTTCCTCCAGGTGCATCCGATAAACTTTGCGAAGCTCCACAACGATGCAACGGTGTGGGCAAAGAGAACCTGCTGTCGACAAGAATAAACCAATGTTTCAAGTCACTAAACCTCTGAAGTAGTTCTCGGAAACTGCCATCCCACCTCGTGTCTGAAACACCTGCAGATTGAATCAGGCTATCTAGAATCTATACAGTAGTAACTAGGGCCATGGGTAGACTCCGTTGTCATCACTGATGACGTGATGCTGGCTGCATTTCTTTGCCCATATATATATAATTAATAAATATATGCGGCGATATCACTAGCAAGATATCAAGACCGTCGAAGTGGCATGGTGTTCCAATTCCTCAATAAAGAAACACGTGCTGGTCAAAAGGATCAGATTGATCAGATCTGAATCTTTCCAAAGATTCTTAAAGACGTTGTCACATGTTACCACCAAGCTTCACTCCTAAACAAGTGAGGTCAGCGTGCAATTCACTCAGCCTATCTGACACAACCCTCAAATTCGCAAAAACAACAACAACAACAACAACAACAACAACAACAAAAATTACAACACGGAGAAAAAACACAGAGAATCTACAGAATCCGAAGATGGATTTGTAACATTTACCAATTGGAAATTCAGCCATGGGCCATGGCAACCGACCCAGCCAGTCCCAGGAGTCCCGGGAGTCCCGGCATCCCCCAGCTCGGGACACCAGATCCATCCGTAACTCGGCTGTCTGAATCTGGACTCGCCCATGGGTATCCCATGGCTACCAGCTACTATAACCATTGAATACTTAGGTGTAGTTGATGTTATATGGAATTTCTGCTTGGCTGACTTTTAAAAACAAACTGTTAAACACTGGAATGGATTAAACATGATCAAACTAAGCTGTAGATCTGGGGGCAAAAACCAGAATAACCAGACCCATCCAGGGGGTTCGCATGGCCACAAAATGACATGACAACGGAAGATGGTTGAAACATGTTGAAACCAGAAGAGTTTCACCTCTAACGTTGTCATGTGGGATATAAACCCTAGCAGAGGTGATCCTCCCAATAACAATCATATGGTTTTGTTCAGCCCTTATATATAAATGTGCTTGTTGTTGGATGATAGACCCTTTTGAACCCTTATGAAGTTGGAAGGTCGGCTTTCTGTGGGGTCGCTGAATCGACATGATGTATTTTCTTAAAATAAATAAAACATATTAAAACATATTAAAACCCTATTTCCCTTTGGAGTTTCTGTGAGTAGAACATCTTTGGAACCTCTCTTGCGCCGATTAAATATCTCCCATGTTTCGATATCGGTGTGTAAATCCCTAAGAAATAGGGTAGTAGCCATGATGTATACCTGTATATATACCCAAGATATCCCAAGATCCAGTAGTTTAGCATAGTTTAGCATCATGTCCCCCATCATTTGATGGCGAAAAAATGGGGCACCATTTCTTGACACACCCATATGTTCTTTGTTTCACCCGCTGCAGCATGTTGCTGCGGGAGCCGTGACTCAAGCCCCAGCTACTGCAAGTGGGTGGGGTGGCATGGAACATAAACAGCAGCACCTGAAGCCACACCTATACTGGATCCATGTGCGGCTTCTGAGACTCTTGGATTGCTGACATATGATGAATTTATACTACACATTTTGACTAAACGCATTTTTTAGCACCAATTTTAGCAACCTGAACAGCGTGACCTACTAGAATCATTATACCCATGTGCCGAACTCGTTCATGCCATCAAAAGCGTTGAGGGTGGTCTTTTCAGGTGCCACAACTCAGTTCCGCCTTCACCAAGCGTCGAAGGCGCTGAACCAAGGACCATGCAAGGTGATGCTTCCTAGTTATATAAGTTGGTTTATCAACCAACAACAACTACTGTATGTATACATATATATATACATAATACATATATATATACATAATATATATATACATATAATTCAATTATCCTAGATACTTAGCCTAATCTAACTATAGACCAACTTCGCGTTCCCGAACTGGGGCACCACCTTGTGGGAGATCTACTTCCTATGAAATCCGAAAGGCCGACCGTCCAGTCGAAGGGGACGATCGGATTCATAGGATTTTGATGGATTTTGAGGCCTACCCTCTGGTAATTTAACATAGCCATTGAAAATGGCTATTTATAGTGGATTTACCCATTGAAAATGGTGATTTTCCATAGTTATGTTAGTTTACCAGAGGGTACAACTGTTAAAAAAATGGTCTCAGCCTCTGAATTTTCGCAAGACTGAGTCGCAGCCGCATCGCAACTCGTATCATTGCGCTTCGCAACATTTCGCAAGGTCCTAGACCAGAATTGGAGCTGCCTGTCCTGAGGGTATCCAATGTACAACTGGTTCTATGACTGTTCCCAGTTGTGGGCTGGGACATGCTGGGACATCCCAAGTACAAGTACAGCATAAAAGCACTGCCTTGACACTTTAGCTTGGTGAGGTCATGAGCCATGTCACAGTGACCTTTGCAAATCATGATGTTTTTGTTCCAATATAATCTAATATATATATATATACACACATATATACAATAAATATACGTACACCAGTACTTTATCTGGTTGTTGGCCTCAACATATCAAACAAAAAACAGAACTATTAGTTGGAGCCAATTGGAATTACATGGTTGTCCTCTGCGTTTCTCTGCTAAGATTTCAGAGAAACACATCTTTCAAAAGATTAAATCATCAATGCCCTTGTCGCATAGCTTCCCTTCACATTGGGGGTAGATGTCTAAGCACTCCATGACAAGGTACCGGTGGGCGGATGCAGTGGACAGTGACACAAACTTCCGCTGCTGGTCAGTGGACTGGCACAGTGGTCGGAGATAAACCTGCGTTCATCGCAGGGGGGGGCAGTCGGCAGCTATGGCTATGGATCAAAACCCTGTTGCCCTGCTAAACATCAAACACATTCAAACAGATATATATATAATCGATGTGTCTGAACCCTGGGTATTCCAAAGTGCCATTTTCACAGGGGAAATGATATAAATGATGATTAACACATGAACATGGGATAACATGGGTCCCCATTTTCAGACAAACACATATCAAATCTACTTTCGTGGGCTGATCCCTGGTTTTTTCGCTTCTTCGCCACCCATCCCATAGATTGGAATCATCCCAGCTGAGGCTAGAAACACGATGAATCAAACAAATTTGTTAGATATGTTTCTTAGATATCATAATCCCATAATCCAATCATATCCCAAAAAACTGTATCTGGAGATGTTTTGTGGATGGGAGGGCTGCTGATCCATTCTTGACCTCAAGGTGGTTGGCAAGGAGTACTGATCAGCACAACTTCGGTCTTCCTCACGCGCGCAGAAATGCCACACATTTTGATCGTCATAGAAGACCTGCCGCTGCGACGTGACTGATGGAGTTTCAAACACCTCCAACACCTCCAGGCTGAAGGAAAAATAGGAATCCAGAGTCAGTGGATGAACCATGAGACTTAGAGAAATTATGCCTCTTTACGGTATAATATTTATAATTATCACTGAATCATAACAACATATTTTTGATGATCAAACTGATCCCTTCACGAAACCCGTAGGCGTGCCTCATAGTTGACGTGTTCATATTTGAAGCCGGTCAGGTACCTTGGTGGAAGATGAGGGACCGGGTCGCGCGAATGAGTGATGCGGTACATTGGAATGCGCCGGGCGAATTCGTGGTCGAAGGCGGCCGCAAAGTTCAGATTTCCCACACGGGGTGACTCGAAGAGATAGGACAGACCCACATTGTAGCCCCATCCTGACGCCCCGTGACACTGTGATCTGCGGATCCGGAAAATCATGTTGTGTGATTAGCTTAGCAGCTAATCAATATACCACATATACACACTAGCTAATACACTATACATCATACATATACCACATGTTGAGACCATCAGAAGTTGTACAACTACTTCTGTGTCAATCATCAGTACAGCAATGGCATCATGGGAGACAAGAAAATCGATATATTCATAGTATATATATATATATATATGTTATATTATAGTTGTATAGTATATATATATATATGTTATATTATATTATATTATATATATATTATCATATATTAGATATGATCATATGATATCATATTAGAGGTTTTCTTTAAATGGCCATACCCCAAAATCATCCAAAATTGCCTACAACTATACATGTAAACGACACCAATGGCTTGGGGTCGCCGAATTTTAACGCTCCAAGGCTGCCCGACCATCGTCCTTGTAATGTACACATGGCAAGCGTTCCAACCGCCGCCCCCAAGGAGTGCCCGGTGATGTAGAGATTTGAAGTGCTGCTGTTGCTGCTGCTGCTGCTGGAGTTCCCAACTTCATGTCTCGGCACGCAGCCGATGTCTCTCAACTTGTCCAGGACTTCATCCTTCACATTGCGCCAAATGCTCGAAAAGCCATCCTCCACATAGCCTGCTTTCAGGTAAGGTGGCAAGATTTTGACAAAAGCACGTCTTCAAACAACACGTAAATAATCTGATGGCTCAATCTTCATGGAACTTGCATCAACGCATTGAACCAGCAGAATCCTTACAATTGAATTGGATCCTGTGAAAAAAACATGATTCTTATGACTGGCCAAGGAGCAGCCCTTGCACCATTCAAACGGCACTGGCGTGTTCCAGAATCGAAAGTCTTCGATCCAATTGGTAATTGTGGTGCCTCCGGCCAGGGAGGCCCTGACACGTCACGACTTTACCATACAGATGTACTCTTGTGGCTATAACATGCTATAACAATGCCATCAACTAGCTTAATTTGGCGGTTAAATGAGTTCATGTGTCTATACATGTTGTACGCATATAATATCATTGTCGTATCTAATTATATATACATTATACATATACAAATAGATATGATCTTTTATATACAGTACAAAATATAAATGATGACCAGCTTACTGCCAAGAAACGTGTGGGTTTGTTAATGGGGGACATCATGAGATCAAATAAACTACGGGATCCCGGGAACCCTGTTTTCAGACACAAGTCCAGCAAGTGTTCGTGTTCAAGCAAAGTTGCAACATGGGACAAGATGAAACACAACTTATTTGGCTTATGTCTTCAGCGTGGCTTATCCCCAAATGATCAACAATGCCTGGTGGGTGGTATACCTACCCCTCTGAAAAATATGAATTCGTCAGTTGGGATGACATGTCCAATATATGTAAAAATAAAAGCATATAAAATCCATGTTCCACACCACCAACCAGTTTCTACCCATGTTTCACCATGAAGAAATTGCATGAAATTGCCTAACATTATCTAACCCTCGACCATGGTACTGCCACGAAAGGAGATGACACATCCATCCGTCGTGCGCGTGGACATTCTTGCCAGCAGCAGAAAGGTGGATCTCGGTTGGATCAACTCCCGGCGTTCAACAAATCCTCGACAACCGGAGGAGTTGGACGGGGAAAGCCACAACAGTTGTTTTTTTGTTTACCCATAGGATCCATGTATGGTATATATGCTAACATTGGGGGTATATTGATGGTAAATGTTACCATATATAGCATACATGGATCCTATGGGTTACTGTAAATTGAAGTTGATTGTCTATGAAATCAAAGTGACATCAACTCTGGGATGCTGATCCAGTGCTATTGGGATCTAACCATTATTTTCATTATCATTACAAGTAATTACTATTATTATTGTCATGTGTATGATCGTTACAATATTGTTACTATTATTCTTGCCACTAGTCATTATTATTATACTAATCCCTGCTCCCTAATACTAAACCTCCCTCCTAAACAATAAACGTATAGTTGTTAGTATTTGAGAAACTTCCCCTTAAAATTACTGTAATCTAGAAACACATGAGTCAAAACAACCATTGTTCCGATCTCGAAATCGATCAGAGTCCTTTATAACATCTATAACTATAAATATATTGCCAACAATTGGATGTCAAAGTGTTCCGCTAATATCAAATCTAAAACATTAATCAACACAACGACAATTTGGGATTTTAAAAGACTTACCCAGATAAACAAACACCCCGGAGTTAACACGAGTTAACTACTTTTTATCATTAGGGGGGTGAAACCCTCAAATTGAACATTGATGTTTAAATTGTTTTCCAAAGGGGACAAATGAACGTACAATCTTCAAATCTGATTTTTCCCAAAACGATCAATCTGGGGTAGTTTTCATGATTTAGGGAAGGTTTAGTAGTAATGGATGATTTATTGTCACTATTACCCTCCAGTAAATTACCATGAACCCTGATAGGGCTTGGAACTTTAGTTTCCACTAAAAATAAAGGTGATTTTGTGATTTTCAGGGTGATTTCAGTGGACATTGACCTGTGAGGCGTAAATTTTAATCATTGGATGTTCAACGCCACTTTCTCTCGGCAACACGAATCATGGGGAGTTTCCACCGTAGGTCTTCGGAGTCTGTGACTCTGTGATATGACCCTCTGGTTATGTCAAAATAGCTATTGAAAATGGCCCATTTATAGTGGATTTTCCCATGAAAAATGGGTGGATTTTCCATAGTTTTTTGTATGTTTACCAGAGGGGAATTGGATGTTCCAAGAAACCATCAACCAATCCGAGTTACGACTAGTACAATCCATCACTGGTTGGTGGTTGACCTACCCCTCTGAAAAATATGAAAGTCAGTTGGGATGATGATTCCCAATATATGGAAAAAATGTTCCAAACCACCAACCAAGATCATATCTACAAAACAAAGCTATTGGATTTTTCGACTTTTCGGAAACATCAGACTCCATCGGCATCTCTGCACTGAGAAACTCAACGTCGAGGAATCCAAGTGGATCCCCACATCTTCGCATGGCCTGGCGGAAACCCAATGGGATAAGGTAGGCCCGGGTTATATGACAAAACGTTGGAAATCGTATGAGATTATGGAATATATTTATGGAACATAAATATACATGGAATAATGTCAGAATATCAGAAACAATCACACATGAAACCATCCCCAAGATCACCATAAATGGATGTGTATAAACCATCCAAAAATGGCTTGTCATTGGGTTTCATTGCCCAAAATCCCAGCGAATCGCCCCAACCCCCGCCCCCAGAGACCCGCAAGTCCAGTTCTGCAGCGAGTCGTTGGCTCCGCAATAGGAAGCAGAGGTCCTTGGTGACGCCGAGATGTGTTTTTCGAACTGGGGATCCAACATGACAGTTTTGATGGGTAGAATGGTGACACACAATGTTTGTTTTTATGTGTTTTGTTTAACCATCTGGTAAACTAACATAGATATGGAAAATCACAATGTTCAATGGGTAAATCAACTATAAATGGGCCATTTTCAATAGCTATGTAACAAATTACCAGAGGGTGCATTAGGTACCTATTTGTTTTTGTCAATTGCTGTGATTCATCCAAGCCTGCTGCTTGGTGATGAAAAAGCCCTTCATTAAGGATCCTCAACCATAGCTAGAAAACAGAAACATGTTTGAAACATTCAACCAGCCAGATATATCTTACTGTATATATATACGCATAGAATAAGCATCAAATGATCTGTTTGAAAGATGTTGAACCCAACAAGCAACCAGGAATAATTATCAGGAATTGATTATGCTGTAAACACAAAACAACCAACTAAACCAAAACTGAAATGTTAGTCAGGTATCAGGCTTGCAAAGGCCCTTGCAACAGGTTCCTGTCAGGGTCAGTTGGTTGGCATCATTTTGTCGAGCTGTGCTTCCATGAGACAGATAGAGAGAGAGAGAGAGGCTGTAACCAAATATGGAACCATGGCTACAGCACAATAGTGCCAGTGTTCTCACACAAATCACTTTCAAATTCAACATGAGTGCGCTCTCATTCTCGAAGTCAAAGTGTGTGCTTTGTTTTACAATCAAAATAATCAAAGAGAACCAAATATAAACAAATTCAAACAGAGAATCTGACGCTTGAAACACTCTGTGGACTCTCTCTCTCTCTCTATCTGGATAGAATTTGGGGAGTGTCCTAGCTTTCAAATATGTCAAATGTATGTGTCTTGTGTATTTCCCCATATATCCCACACATATATACATTATATACACATATTACTTAATATGTCTTATTTTTGAACTAAGACATAAAATGATGATACCATGTTACTGCATTCATCTATTCCTTCCATGCTTCGCTTTCCCTTGGTTTGCACCTCATAGGGCCAATCGGGTGACGCGGCAGGCACAAACCAGAGAGCCCAGGCGGCCCATGTCCCAAGGATGCGCCAAAACGGCGCCATGAATTCCGCCCGCCACCGAAAATGATCCGGTGGTGATTGGGACGCAACAATGATCCAATGATTCCAATGATGCACTTGGATGCACTATAGGTGTTTTTTTTTGATATGTTCTTATGATTTCTTATGGATCACCGATTGGAGAAGCTTTGACTCAGAATTTTGCCACTTGTAGACATCAAATGGATCCAAAAGGCACCAACATGTGACCCAAATGGCTATTGGTTGCAACACACTTCTTAAATGGACCACTGATTTCATCTAGTTGACACCCGATGTCAGAGTCACTCAATTGACCTCATCAACTATTGTGCAGCCAGCAGCTACGGTTTACACGGACAGCATCTTCAGCTCCTTTGCTAAGGCATGAGGGTAGTAAGTGCTAGGTAGGTGGACGGTAGCTGGGTAAACACTTCTAGTTCTTTCTTACATGGTCATGGATGGTCATGGGGTATCAGAGCTATCCAACTGCTTTCCCAGCACGGGCTCGAGACAAGGACCGTGTCAGCTACAACAGCCTCCACAATGGTTGCATCGCCACGGTGCATGATCATAAACTCCTGTTTCCGTCAATTCGAAGCATTCAAACTCTTGATTTTGAGATATTTTGACAATATCCTAGCCCAATGAACTTCAAAACTAGACTAGATCAGGAAGTTGCATCGCAAAAGTAGAGCCATGAAGTTATGGCCCATTATGATCCGTTTTCAAGGGATATGTTTTTGTTTGTTTTTGCCCAATCACTTTGGCTTCTCACTTAGAGCCCAAGAAATCCAGCTTCCAGTGATCATCAGTTGGTCATCCGCCTCCTGGCCCTGGCTTCACCGTGCTGAGTCTTCCAACTCACCCTTCCCTCCCTTGTAAATCTCACCGAAATGCCGTCGTTGGGCCTCCAAGGTCGTCCCGAGGCGATGAGACAAAGTCACAACTTACCCTCTGGTAAACATACAAAAAGCTATTGACAATTGCCATTTATAGTGGATTTTCCCATTAATAATGGTGATTTTCAATAGCTATGTTAAATTACCAGAGGGTAAATCGAATAACATGTACTTGTTCAGGTATCTATATGGAGAGTCCAGGCCCAAGTATACATTTATGTGATTTTATGTGTCTGCATGTATGTGTATCGCTACTAGCCTGCCACCGAATTATGAAGATTCGTGGATTTTGGCCATTTCCGAAAAAGGGACGATGTCCTTTCTGGAGTGGAGATCCGTCGAACTGATACCAGTGACTTTAATTCATGGGTGGCGGTTCTGGTGAATTTCCTATCAATTCAAACACCATGCAGGAGAAAAGTTCCGAATGCTCTCCGGAGTTTAGGCTCTCCATTCATGCATCTGGTTGGTTTCCGCCGCAAAACATGTCAAAAAATGCTATATGTCAGTGCCATGGACAAAACATGTCAAAACATGTCGTGTATGCCTCAGTGTCCATCATGGCATCAGGAATCCCTGATGGATGACCAATCACTGCTACTGTTCCTGAATTCTACAACCAAGTTGTGACGCAGTTGATCCACGTGGCGTATTCAACATGTTGAATCCGCAACTGCAAATTCGATATCCACCATACATGGTGGTGTCATGTGGTGTCCATAAATGAGGGTACCCCAATAGCTGGATGGTTTTTAGTGGAAAATCCCATGAAATATGCATGATTTGGAGGTACCGCTATTTCAGGAAACCTCCAGATTTGTCATAGACCCACCTAGTTCTAACCCAGCTCCAGGGCCCCCCACCATGGCAATCACCTGGCTGAAATACGGCTGAAATTCGACCAGCAAAGATGTGAAGCTGCCAAACTATCCAGATTCTTCACCTTAACCAACCTTAAAATGATTGGATATAAACCAACATATAACATGAACCAACTGAACTAGGGATTTGAGATAAATTTGATAATATGATTCTTTTGTTAAACCAGCAATGATCTTGCAGGTTGAGCCTCATCGAAAATGTGACAGTGTGAAGTCAACCAAAAATCATCACAGGGGTGGAAAGAGTAATATTAACGAAACCACCAAGCAGAGCATGTACCACTTCCAGACGCATTGTTCTGCTAAAAACCATCATGATCTTCAAGGGAAACTCTTTGAGTTTTCATTCGTACCTGTAATGTACTCACAATGAACAATATGTACAAACAAAAGAGGTATGTCTATATGCGGTATAGCTTACACGCCATACATGATCAACTGGGATCCAAGAATCCAAGGGGTGAAATTGCATGCAAACGACAAATTCATCAAAACACATTTGCAAGATGCACGCATCTGGAAACGGCACAAAAAACACACCAAACCCCAAATTGTGGTCAGGATAAACTTTGCCAAAATATGCCAAAATTGTGTGTGGTTCAGTAGCTCAATGTTGCCTATCACGTGGTTGGTGAACATCAATTCGTAGCTGCTTGGCTCCACATTTTCCAGGGGGATATGGATACTTGTGATACTACTCAAAAAAAGTCCCCATATTTGGCGAGCCAAATCAAATCCCAAGTTATAATGATTTAAGAATGAGTAAAATGACTGAGTTCCAAGTATCGTAGCATATGATCATGGTATATTAGAGTATATATCCAATGGCATCTCCAATGCTATGATTGTTCAAGGTACTTAGAGTTCCATAGTTTCCTCCTATCACCGGCTGCGCCTGCAGCAAGGCATTTCGGACAGACACTGGCGGACCCTGGAACCATCCCAAGTCACGGGGGTACCCCAAAGGTTGGATGGTCTTTTCTAGGTTTATACTGGAAAATCCTATGGAAATGGATGAGAACTGGGGATACCCCCATGACTTCCGAAACCTCCATGTATGTTCTATTCATGTCCACCTACATGTGGCCCATGCTTGGAGTATTTCTTGGGTAAATCAACTACCTGAAATCTGGGTTGCAAGAAACAAAGTAAAAATCATGGGATGGGTTAACCTCAAAACATTTGGATACAAGTGGCAACATAGTCGGAACTGAGCTGGCTGCATAGTCTTTCAAGTCCTGCGAAGGGCCAACACATATTGTTGGTCAGTGGTCAGTCTATGGTTTACAAACCCATGAGCAAAGCTGTTATTATCCACATGTTCCCTTGAAGATACTGTAATGTTTATATAGTAACTTTAGTACAACAAGTATATAATATATATATATATATGTATATACAGACATATCTATATATGTATATATATATATAGAGGCATATATATATATGTATATATATACATAGACATGTTCATGTATATATATATATATATACATAGACAGGTGTGTATATATATATATACAGTCGTATACATATATATATATATACAGTCGTATACATATATATATAATATGCAATATATACACAGTATATAAATGTATATATATATACATACTGTATATTTAAACGGCTACTGTCCCAGTGTCCTGAATGATGAAGTGTTCTTTGGTCGACCTATGTAACACATATCTCAGTGAATCTGGACTATCCTCGATATGTGCAGACATGACTCCATTTCAGGGTTCTTTGAAACTGTCCGAAATAGGGTTATACCCTTAATATAATGCACCCAAATTGGGCATATTTTTTTTTGTTGGGTTTACCACATTCATTTGATATCACCCAATTACCTCCATATGGCTATCTTCATAGGGAAAATGATCATGAACCCCAATTTTCAGACAAAGCCACTTCCACAGCCACAGTGCTCCTGTGAGCACACCGTGGTTCCAGCCTTTCGATTGCCAATGCATCGACTGCGGCCTGCAAGCATATCGAACAAAGTCCTCTGCTTGGGACTTGACTGGATTTACAACCCTAGAACAACTCGAGGCGAGAACATGATATCGTATAGTTATATACTATGTATCATATGCATAGTAACCCCTAGGGATATAGAACATTTAATCCTTGCTATTTTAGCCGGAATTTAGTTTTCGATCTTTGTGGGGATTACTGTATATATATATGATATACATACCATACATGTATATATACATACATGGTGAATCTTAGATACGTGTCAAAAAATGTTGGTTAGTACATTTCCCCATTGATAGCAAAAGATTAAAGTACCAAAGTATCTAGCAAAGGTTGACCCACCATATATGTATACTATGGCCATGTGGACAACTCTGAACTAAATACCCAGAGATGTTTGTGTTTGTGTTCGTGACTTACCTGGAGTCACACACACCCATATGTCATGTATATAATATATATGTATATATATATACTGTAAAAAATATTAAATCATACTATTATATACATAATGACTGGTGGGGGCCAGTGACTATATCTCAACATACTCAAGAGATGGACAACAAATCAGTTTTTGAAGTTACCGAAAGGGATACTACTAGCTGTGGCGCGATTCAGATGACATCAAATTCATCAAATGACACATGTCTTGCCTTCTCGGAACATAGGGGATCGATGGATCAAACTTACATAGACCTTTAAATAGCCTTGTTTTCTTCCAAACCATGACCAGCTGAGCTTCAAACAGGAAAGCCACCTCAGGGGATCAAGATCTAACGAAGTGGCCACCAAGTTGGACAGGTTGAAAATAGATACCGTATAAGTAATGTGAGTTATTGAAGCGTCCAAGGCGTTTGGGGGTGATTTTGTGCCTGCGTGTCATCCTTGGGAGATATTGAAATCCCAACTGTTTGCATCCTCAGACCCCGAAAAGACATGGTTTTTGTGGGCAATGTGGATCTGGAAGGTGTCCAGACGGACCATAGATCATAGCAGAAACGCCTTCCAGCTTCCGAAATGGACCAGCTTGTGTACAGTACCCAAGTTTGACTCTGGTCTTACTTGTGTAAGCAATGCAACAATTCTAAGTACCACAGACGTTGTCACCATAGTTACTGATCCATACTGATCCTATTGATTGTTACTGTTTGTGTGTGTGTCATATCAGCAGCAACAAGTTGGTCTTTTCCAATTTCTCTGGGATTTTGAGTTTTCCAAAAGTGCCCAAAATGTGTTTCTTAGAATCCCCACTTACCCCATGTTGTCAGGGGGACATTCATCTACCTGTTCCATCCCCGGTCACACAGTTTTTGTTTATTGATGTTCATACAAAGTGCCCCCCAAAACCCTTAATTAATGATATATAAATAAGGTAGTTTATTAATTTATAACCCCATGTAGCTATAGGCTATAGATATACTATAGATATACCTTCAAAAAAAAATAACTGGTTATTATAATGTTATGATTGTTATCATATGTTATAAAGATTTATAAATTACCTTTGCTATCTTTGTGGCCCCACATTGGATAGCGCCCCAGCCAAGTCGCCGTCCCTCCGGTGGCTGGTCGAGGGGAAGGATTCGACCTGGTGGCGACGTGGGAAACCCCACCTGGATCCACATGGGGAGTCCGATGAAAATGAGGTTCAAATGGGGAACAAAAATGATTTTCCAATGCCTAGGAAAATAACATAAAATAACCATGAACATGTTTTTTTCCGTATTTTTCCTAGGAACAAAAAGCAACAGTTGGGGGATTCCGGCAACCATGCTGAGTCGACCAGCAACCACTAGAACTTGGGAGTATCCCGGAGGGAAACCAACCATAAACCACCAATGAATGGACAAGAAACAGCAGCCAAGGGTTAAACAAACGAGAAACACAAATATGACAGCAATGCCATCAATGTCTACGAGTCTACAACACAGTCTGGTAATGTCTGGTAAGCATACAGTGGCCAAACGATGGTATCAAAATGCAGGCAACTTTGGCTGGCTGCAAACCAACTGGGGTAGAGAAACCCATCACTCTGAGCTTTGCGAGCCTCGCGACTTTGGTTTTGAAGCCGATGTCTGATTTCGAGGGACTGGTACGAAGATCTGGCTGCGTTGAGGAATTGGATATCATGGGTGTGGTGTCTAAGTGGAATGTCGGGGATAACATCCCAGCCTGCCAAATGCCCTAAACTTAAGTAATTCCAAAG